TGGATTAGGTGGAGCCATGCTGAAAGCCCTAAAGGAAGAATGAGTTTAGCCTAAAGTGCGCCAACTCCAAAAGTTTAAAGACACTCCTGAGTGTAAGGGTTAGCAGCTGATGAGTAATGCTGGGAAAACAACTTAAGATAATTGGGAAAATATTAATGCTGAAACATAATAAATATTAAAGGAAATGTTTTTACCCTTTAAGAATTATGGTTATGTTAAAATGAAAAATCTTATTTCAGAAATACATAAAGATGAGCCGGACATGGTATACTACATCCCTGTAATCCTAACTACTTGGGAGGTTGAGACAAGATGATCACAGCCTAAACAATTTAGATGGCCTCAACATAAAATTTAAAAAGAGCTAGGAGTATAGCACAGTGAAGAGTGCACAAGCAATGGGATTCAATCCTCACTGCTAAAAGGGGGCAGTAGGAGAAAGAGATGTGTACTTGAATTAAGATGGCTTGGGTTTGCATTAAATAATTCATAGCAGAAAGTATAAATACATAGTGTATAACAACAGCCATCTGTAGAAAGTAAGTTTGGGTGCACTGAGGAAGAGCAGTCAAATTAAGGTAACTGGTCTGTAATTTCAAGGAATTAATGATTTAAGAATATAATAAAATATGTTATTGGAGAATGCTATTATACAGTTAAAATGTGACCTAGTATTAGTAATTAACTGCAACCAAACAAAGACCTAAGAAGGGAAATAGTAAGCATTGAAGTATTAAATATAAGGAAGTTTGGGGCTAGAATGTGGCTCAGTGGAGGAGTGCTTGCCTAACGTGTGAAGTCCTGGGTTCTATCCCCAGAGCTGCAGGCAAAAAAAAAAAGTCAAAGTTATTCCAGTGAACATTGGAGCCCAGAGAAAAAAACAACCAGGATTTTCATGACGAAGATCAGCCTTTCTCTCCTAAGCGTAGTCCGTGTCTGCTGACACTAGTATCATCTGATTTTTTATATACAATTGCAAAATCTTACTCTGCTGATGAGTACAGCACTCCCTTAACCCAGTCACCTAAAAGCGCCACCTCTGAATGCAGAAGACTTCTGATCTGATCTGTGATAATAAATGTCCTTGGTTTTCCTCTTGTTAAATGGTCTTTTATTATAGGGGTCCATTCTGACAAAGAATTCATGATGGCTGAGGAAAGCTAACTTTTCTTTTCTGTATGTGAAAATATGTGAATTTACACCAGTGCTTAATGAATCCGTATCCCTTTCAGTTTCCTAACCACTGTGATGTGAGCAGCTTTCCCCTGCCACACCCTTCTGCTGTCCCATTTCTGCCTTAGAGCCAGCCACCTTTATCTGTTTGTTTGTTAGACAGTGCCTCATGTAGTTCACGCTTTCAACTTTCTGTGTAGCCCAAGCTTGCCTTGAACTCACTGCTTTAGCCTCATGAGTGCTAGGAATATAGCGTTTGCCGCCGTGCTAGGAATATAGCGTTTGCCGCCGTGCTTGACAGCAGCCAATTTTGGACTGAACCCACTAGAACCATGAGCAAAATAAGACCTTTTTTCTTTTAAATTGTATCACGTGTTTTTGTCCCAGTGACAGGAAAGTGACTAATACTTTATTTTTAATACTTTATTAGCATATATATATACATATATATATATATATATATATTTTTTTTTTTTTTTTTTTTTTACTTTTTCGTTTTTATCGGTACCAGGGATCGAACTCACAACTGCCTGCTTGCAAGGCAGGCGCTTATGCCGCTGAGCTAAATCCCCAGCCCCTAGCATATATTTTTTCATTTATGTGCATGTAAGGGAGGTAGCCAAACGAGTAAGAAATGGCTTTAAGTAATAAGAAGAAAAGGACTGAGTCTAAGGTTGGCAACTTATAGGAAGCAGATAAATGGCAGATAAAGGCTAGTTAAGCTTGTTAATATAGATTTCCTGGGGTACTGTCTCCTGGCTTCTAAGGGTATAAAGTTGTCTTTGGTGGCTAACCTTTGTTCTCAGGAGGTAGGGTAGAGGAGAGGTGATAACCTTTGTCTTTGTAAATCTGTGTCCTACTTTTAGGCAAACACAGAGTTGGCAGTTTTTCTACATTAGCTTACACCAAAAAGGCATATTTGGGGGTCACGTACTCTGGTCTCCCATATATAGAGAGAATCTTCAAAAAAAAAATGTATACACACTTCAGGAAAAGAAAATATGTATAAATATTTTAATACAAGTTACCTTTGGATTCTACAATTATAAATGGTGACCATTAGCTTCAGACATTTATTAATACAACAAGCTACTGCTTGGGTAACCTAGGTCATTGAGATTGCTACACATACATTTGCAGTTTCTGTTCTAAGGGCCCACCATGTAGTGGGTTTTCTGTAACGTATGACATCCTCTAGGCTCACCCATAGGAGGATAGCAACATCTATTGAAAAAAAAAATCATACTATTTTTCTTTTCCTGAAGTGTTTATACATTTTTTGGTGATCTCTGTGTGTGTGATATATACACATATATGCAAATATATATGTGTGCGTATATACACATATATGTATATGTGTGTTTGTATATCTTTACAGACTTCCAAGGTAGTGTATGAGTAAACCACAGAGAAATCAGATACTTGCTGCAAGTAACCCAGTTGTTAATGACAAAGCAGCGCTTCAAGTCAAGTTCTGACCCCAAAATCTGTGCACTTAGCTGGGATACCACCGCCTCCTATCATGTACTGATCCTATGCCAACAATTCATTCATGAATTGGCCTTTCATGTGGCTTTTATGTGACAGAGCTGACCTATATGAGAATGTGACTATTTCAGTCACTGGATAGAAACAGCTCCTGTTGTAAGTTAATAAATTAGTCTGTGATGAAAATTTTTTTAGAGTTTTTTTTTAAACTGGTACTGGAAATCAAACTCATGACCATGCGCTTGCAAGGCAGGCGCTTATGTTGCTAAGCTAAATCCCCAGCTCCAAAAATTTTTTTTAAGGTTGTGAATCAATACCCCCAAAATATCAGGACCTTGTACTCATTAAAATGTAGCTTACAAAATTCTAATAGTGTATGTTTTTCTTTTCTTTTCTTTCTTTCTGTCTCGTTCTTCTTTTTTGTTTATCTGATGTTTATTCCTATGATTCTAAAGCTCTTCCCCACTCAAGTACTCCTGAGAGACTGAATGTGTTCCTGTCAATCACAGGAACCTACGGTGGCATTGCTAGCCAGAGACTAGCTCCTTCAAGTTCTGGAAAAGATACCTTGTGGGAGAATTAGTGATTGATTTCCAAGGGACTGAGAGAAACTGGTGGGGTTTGAGGCAGTGAAAATAACAGTTTTTCCTAGTGTGCTGCTTGTACACTCACCTCGCATGACCCTGGCAACTCTGTGGGAGGTACTGTCAGATCTGCAATTGCTTACTATCAGTTCTGAACCCCAAAAGTGCTGAACCAAGGATTTTTTTCCTTAAGTTAGCAGCAGATCATGACCTGAACTGATCTGGTGTTTATAATCTTTAAACTTTTTGAAGCAGAAACATTAATAGCTGATTACAGAGTCCTGCCCAGAATTCATAGGGGATGTTATATAAGATTTGAAATATTGTTTTTCTAAAATTTAAAGAATTTTCTAAGTCATTTGTCACAACAAGAATTTCAGATGAGGAAACTGAAATTAAAGAGAGGCTAAATATTTGTGCAACACATTGCCACCAATTTATTTAACTAGATGTGAAGGCCATATATGAATTTTCAGCACCTTAATAAATATGAATTTTCGGGGCTGAGGATTTAGCTCAGCGGCATAAGCGCCTGCCTTACAAGCAGGCAGTCGTGAGTTCGATCCCTGGTACCAATAAAAAGGAAAAAGACCAAAAGTAAATAAATAAATATGAATTTTCAGTACCTTAATAAAGAGCCCATTGAATATCATTTAGCCTGGTTCTTTGAAGGAAATCTCTTGGCCCTGCAAATACTTGAAGAGTTGTATAAAATGCCTTAAGGAAAGTGCTTTTAAAGTCAAATTCTCAGTCTGTTACCTTTGGATCATCAATAATGCTTCAGATCTTTCTTTCTCTTTCTGATTAACATGTGTCCAGAGAAATATGAATTTATTTGGAATATATAAAGTGTTTTAGTCTCTTCAAGTAAAGTATGGGAGAGAGTCCAGGTGACCTAACATTGTGGCATTAAGGCGGATTATTATTCTTGATCCTTGGGCATTTAAAAGGAAGCAGACTTTGCAAGACCAAAATAATTCAGTAAATTTAATAACAGCAGTCTTTGTAGTGTACTAAACTAAAATATCTGATAGTAACTGTTTTACTGCTTTTGTTCAGAATACCTCACTCAGGAAGGAGAAAAAAGAGGATCGTTTCCAAGTGAAAAATCAGCCAAGCATGGTGGTGCATGCCTGTAATCCCAGCTCTTAGGAACCTGAGGCAGAAAAATTGCATTGAGTTCCGGGCCAACCCTAGCTACATAGTGAGGTCCCATCTCCAAATAAATAAAATTTAAAAATCTCATGCTTTAGGCTGTCTTTTTGCTATTAAACACGAGTTTTTTCACCTTATTGTTATTATGATTGGGTTGAGTTGAGTTGGGTTGGGTTGGGTTGGTTTGGGTTTTTTTTACTTTTTTTTTTAAATTTTATTTAAGGAGAAAAGAGAAAAAAAAAAACAGTGAAAGGGTACAAGTTATACAGATTTACAGAAGACAAAAATAAACAGTAGGAAATCACTAGTTAATGGATTACATATTGCCATCTTAGAAATAATTGTTCAAGTCACAAGATTAAAGCTTGTAGAGTGGACATTCCAACAATGATACTGCAAACAGTTCTGTTCAATGATCCAATAAAACTCTGTGATATCATTTTCTATCTTATACACTTAAATATACATGCAGTTATATAGTTTAGAGCACTTTCTTTTCCTCTCTTTTGTACAATGACTATTACACATTTTGGGTTTCATTGCTCCCACGGTTCTTATTGCTTTTTTGGAAGAGAGTAAAACCAAATGTGACATAACAGAACAGAATCGGTCAAGTCAAAAGGGTGGACATAATAGATAATATAAAAACATAATACAAGGTGATCAACAATGGTTACCATAATGCCTCCCGCTATCTCTAATAGAAGGGTTGGTTTGTTTTGGTCTAAGACACAGTCTGGCTATGCAGATCAGGCTGGACTTGAACTCACTATGTAGCCCAGGCTGGCCTCAAATTTGCAGTGCTCCTTCTGCCTCAGTTTCCAAAGTGCTAAGATTCCAGGTATGTACCACTATGTCCGGCTCTTATTTTAAACGTTAAGATTTTTCTTTCTGGGAGATTAATGTTATCTTTAGTTTTGCTCTTGAATATTAATTTTATGTATATTATGTGCTTTATAAAGTTAGACTTACCTTATGATGCACAAGAATAGTGATAAACATTAGGGGAGCAAATTATATAAAGGATGACTTATGTGCATTTCCTACTAAGGAAGTAGTTGTATTGAAATGTAATAGTTTCATTTAAAACCTGTAATAAAAATTATGCATTTGGCCCTTGTCCCTGGTTCCTGGCATAAAACCTTTGGAATTTCTTGACAGAATGGAACAGAGGAGGGAGATGAGGCATGGAGACTAAGTTTAGCCACCAGTGGCCAATGATTGAATTGATTATGCCATTGTAATAAAAGATTTTTGGTAGAACTCTAGGACTCCTGACTTCTCAGTGAACACATCAGTGTATTCACTGAAAATATGTAGAGCTCTGCACTGAAAAATCTATGCTAGCCTTCACCCCCATACTGGTTGATTTTGGGTGTTATGCTTTGTGTCTAGATGTCCCCCCAAAGCCTCATGCAGTCATAGGTAGGGTTTTACAGGGGTGGCTGGATCTATAGTGTGTGGCTGGTTTATGCAGTGCTAGGATTAACTGTGAGTGATTACTAAAGCAGTCCACTGATTGGTTTGGCACCGCCCTAACCCTGGTAGTCTAGGTAGAATATAAAAGGGGCAGAAAACAGCTGCTAGGTCCTTGCTCACTTGCTTTGCTACCTTCTACCCACTGGGAACCATTTCTCCTCTGCGATGTCCCTTTGCTATGCCACCCTGCCTCAGAGCCAGTCAAGTATGGGCTGAAACCTCTACAAACAATGAGCCCAATAAATATTTACTCCTTTAACTTTGGGCATTGGGTGTTTTGTCTCAGCAATGAGAAAAGTAACTGAGACATTGGGAAAGTGGAGAATTGGAGTTGAAACAATATAAGGATCTTGTCTGGTTTTGTCACCTGGTCACAACTGTCTTCTCTTACAGTATCTGACCAAGCAGGTGGAACTTCTACGGCAAATGAACGAACAGCATGCAAAAGTTTATGAGCAATTGGATGTCACGGCAAGGGAACTGGAAGAAACAAATCAAAAGCTAGTTGCTGACAGCAAGACCTCACAGCAAAAAATTCTGAGGTAAAAGATCTAGAATCTGTTGAAACCCTAGGCGGAGAGTTATTTAGTATAATTTAGAATAAAGCATAACTGTAGATGTTTGGGTTACCATGGAGTAAGATTTAATTTAATTCTTCTTGAAGACTAGAGATTAACTGTAAGTCCTTTCCAATTAAGAAAGCTCCATTCAAGTGACTTGAGACTAATCTTTTCTTGCTATTTTTGTCCTGAATTTAATATGATAAGCAGCCATTGGCTTCTTTCTGTTCCTCCCAGCCTGACAGAAACAATTGAGTGTCTGCAAACCAATATTGATCACCTCCAAAACCAAGTCGAGGAATTGAAATCATCTGGCCCAGGGAGGAGGAGACAGAGGAGATGTGACCAGGAGAAACCAACACCCAGCTTCTCCTGTCTGAAAGAGCTCTATGACCTCCGCCAGTAAGAGCCTGCTTTCTATGGATTTACAAGCTAGAAATATGCCATGTCATTGACAAATTCTGGATTCCAGTTCATTAAAAGAGTTATTTTAAGAAGTGCCACCTGGCTATTAAATCACCAGTAGTTTGAACAAAACCACTTATACATATAAAATTTTTGGGTGTTAGTAATTCTGTGTAAACTCATTTGGAAAGACTTGAGAGCATTTATTTCATTATTTTAAACATATTAAATATTAACTTAAAAATACTTCTGACAGAGTTGGGGGTTTTTGGTGTTTTGTTTTGTTTTTTGAAACAGAGTGTTGTTCTGTAGTTTAGGCTGGTCTTGAACTCACCATATAGGCCAGGCTGGGCTCAAATTCAGAGTGACCCTCCTGTGTCAGCCTCTCCAGTGCTAGGATTCTAGATGTGCACCATCATGCCTTGCTCAGAGTATACATTTCTGAGTGAAGGAAAAATGGAAATTTTCCTACAACAGAAATTGAGGCACAGAGACTTTTTTTGTCTAAATTCCTTAAGAGTTACGAATTTGAATTCTGACAGTTGAACACTTGTTATATAGCAGGTACTGTGCCATCATGAAAGGTAACCAAAGTAGGCATAATTTCTGCCTTCATGAGTTTTCATCTAATGGAGAGGTGGATATGCAATAATCATGCAGATAATCTAGTTACAAGTTTCCTAGGGCTGAACAGGGAGACCAGCTGGTTCATGTGATGCTTCTCACCCTTGCCTGTATATCAGATCACCCGTGAAGTTTTGAGTGCAAATATGAGCATATTCCCACAGTCTTGAGTCAGGATTTCTAGGTGCACAGATGAGTCTGATGAGCATTCTGGTTAAAAATTAAAAGAGCAGAAGTTCTCAACCTTGGACCACTTGGAAAGCTTTTAAAACTCCCTAGGAGACCAAGTAGGTCAGACTCAGTGGAGTAGCAGTCAGATAGTTTTTAACTGTTGATTCTGATCTTCAGCCAAGACCAAGAACCCTGAGCCATTGTGTTTCCCAGTAAGGCAAATGTCATACTGGGATTGCATGTTTCTATGATACTTTTAATGTTTTAAGAAAAAAATCAGTTACAAATACTGTTTTGTTTTCTTTCATATGTTTATCAGTCTTACACAATTTCATTTTAGCCACTGATTGAGTACTGATACAGAATAAGCTAAAAATTTTAGTCATTATCACAGATCCTGTGAAAGATTGAGTTACATGCACTTGTGCTCACACACAGACATGTGCATACATTTTTCCTTCACCTTCTCCGCTGACCTGTGCATTTGTTCCATTATTTTCCCCCAGACACTTCGTTTATGACCATGTATTTGCCGAGAAGATCACTTCCTTGCATAGTCAGCAAAGCCCTGAAGAAGAAGAAAATGAGCACTTGAAAAAGACAGTGACAATGCTGCAGGCCCAGCTGAGCCTGGAGCGTCAGAAGCGCCTGACCATGGTGGAGGAGTACGAGCTCGTGCTGAAGGAGAACAGTGAGTTGGAGCAGCAGCTGAGAGCCATAGATGCCTACCAGGCAAGGGCTCTGGAGCTGGAGGCCGAGGTGGTGGAGATGCGCCGCATGCTGCAGGCAGAGCATCCTTTTATGAATGGAGTTGAGAAGCTGATGCCAGACTCTGTGTTGGTTCCTTTCAAAGAGCCCAGCCAGAGTCTGCTGGAGGAGATATTCCTCACAGTTTCAGAAGTGTACAAAAAGCCTCTCAAACGCAGCAGTAGTGACACAGTCCTCAGCAGCCTGGCAGGGAGCGATATTGTGAAGGGCCACGAGGAGACCTGCATCAGGAGGGCTAAGGCTGTAAAGCAGAGAGGCATCTCCCTTCTGCACGAAGTAGATACTCAGTATAGTGCCCTGAAGGTGAAGTATGAAGAGCTGCTGAAGAAGTGCCAGCAGGAGCAGGATTCCCTATCACACAAAGCTGTGCAGACCACCAGGGCTTCGGCTAGAGACCTGATGAGAGTTGATCCCCAGGCTGAGCCTGGCACTGATGCCCTGCCCGAGCTTGAAACCAATGGCTGGGAACCTTCTCCTGTCACCCCGGAGTGCGTCGGTTCTCCTACTGCCACAGCACCTCCAGAATACAAGGCACTATTTAAGGAGATCTTTAGTTACATCAATAAAACTAAACAGGAAATAGATGAACAGAGAACGAAATACCGATCTCTGTCCCCTCATTCTTAACCTGCTGCTCTACTGCTAATTGGCCTATTTCCCTTCATCTCTGCCTCCCATTCTGACGACTGTTTATGGACTTGAAAGTCCTTATTTAGCAAATGCAGACAGCAAGGAAAGCAGATAGCTACTGCTATCCTTCCACAATTCATTTGAAGCTACCTAAGAAATGCCATGACAAACTGACCTCTGGCTGGTGCAGATTAAGCCGGTTGCTGGAAAAGCACTGAAACCAGTGGAGGGAGGTCCACGATCCATGACAAATAGGCCTCGAGTTACTGTAGTACTGGAGGAGGGGCACAGAGTGAGAAAGAACAAGCCAAGGCAATACCTGTTGCCTCCTTGCTCAACTTCTCAAAACTAGAAGCTGGAGGGCTGCTACACTGAGATCTTGTAAACACTGCTGATGACTGTGAACTCATTTGGAAGAATGTTTAAGAGAAAGCATAATGCTCTTAAGACTGGAGTCTTGTTATGTGTGCTACCAGTTGAACTGTGACTGACAGATAATCCTGATATATATCAATCTAACTGAATCCCAAATTGAAATGGCAACTCTAATTAGATGAAAACTTGTTGGTATGGCCCTCAAGGGCCGCCACCACCCACATTCAAATGTTTTACTCAAAGATATAGTTATTAGGTGATTATATAAATGTTTAAGTTCCTTTCTCAAATTTAGACTACAAGGTAAAAAACCCCTTCCTCTCTTAGGTGTTGTGAGCTGGTAGATCTGCCAGCCAGAAGCTGCTCCTGTTCAATTTTTATCATCCCGTAAGTAATTTTGACTTGTTGTAGAAATTCTTGTTTACTTTATTAAGCTGTATTGATGTTTCTGACTGTAGAAATATATTTGTCTTTTCACTTGCATACTTTTAATTTAAAACTATTTAAAAGAACTGAAGTTCTGATTGTTGTATATATTTTTCTAAAAGCCAAATAAAGTTACCTATGAAAAGAAATGGGCCTGTTGCTTTTTTAAAAAAGCTTTGTGTTATTTTATTGTTACAATCAAATGAATTTTTCCTTCCAACATATCTGTAGGAAGAGTTGATAGTGATTTTTTTCCCATCTTTTAAACAGAAAACTTGGAACTCTGAAAATTAATTGTACAAATTCTGCTATATCACTAAATGTTCATTAAAACCATACAGAATTGAAAAAAACATTTTCAAGTGTATGTACTTGATTTTCACTATTTCAGAAATGGCTGGCTGGCCTGGCGCTGAATTAATCACATTTGATTAGTTGATTCTCAAAATATTTGATCATGTGCTCATAAGAGAAAAGTTCATAATATATAAATATTGAAAGCATAAGCTCCATTTTTTTTGGATTAAACTTTTAAAAACACTTTTTAGTTTGTTTTTTAACTTAAAAAATTTCAATTTGAAAAGTTTTCTTGTCTTCCCTACCTTCTCAACCTGTCTCCTTCCTTCGAATTAACTACTTTCTAGTATATTTTTCCAAAATACACTAGCACATGAATGTTTATGTCACCGTACATTTTTAAACAAGAATATATCCTAAAGATACCTGATCTTGTTTTTATCTGATGATGTATCTGCTGTATATTTTATATGATAGTTACAGAGTATTCCAGAGTTAGCTGCTGTATTTCACTTTAGTCCCCAGTGAGTAACAATTCTTGTTTTCTTCTACTTCTAATAATGAAGTTTGTAATAAATGATTAGAAGTGAAGGCAAAAAGAGCATTTTGCTACCTGCCATCCTCTAGTTAACTGACACTTCCACTGTTGTCACATGAAGATGTCTGTTTTCTCGTATGTGTGCCAGTTAAAGTTTTTTTGACTGCAGTGTCTTATGGCTGGCCTTGTACTCTTGGGTTCAAGCAGTTCTGCCTCAGCCTGCCACCTTGCTAAAGTAATTAAAAGTGGTTTCCCTGAAGTTTACATTGACATTTCTTTTATCAGTGAATATTTTTAATGGTAGCCATTTGTATTTTCTGCTTATTTTCTAAAAATACTAGTACTTAGGAGATACATTTTTGCAAATGGAGGTTGCATTTTTTTCTCCAGACTATCTTAGTTTTTGCCTTGTTAAAAGGCTTCAAACCTTTTTGTGTTGGACATTTATTTGATCTATTATCACTTGAAATGCCACCCGCATCAGTAATAAATTTCAACTAATTTTTATCTCTTTGTGTTCTAGGATTTGATTTTCATGTTCCTAGTGCAAGTTTTGTTGTTGCTGTTTTTTATCGGTACCGGGGATTGAACTCATGACTGCCTCCGCCTGCTTGCAAGGCAGGTGCTTATGCTGCTGAGCTAAATCCCCAGGCCCCTGTAGTGCAACTTTTAATAGCTGTACCTGGACATTTATATTTTCCTAACTGTAAAGTAGAAGTGAAATGTTTCATTACTTTCAGAATTTTCCTAGATTGTTTTACTATATTTTTTTAAATCTAAACCTTAAAATTAGTTTGGTTTTAGGCAGAAGCTGATACTTTTTATTGAAATCAAATTGAGAGAAACTTAAGTAATACAGAAATTTCTTTCCAAGATCTTGGGCGTATGTCTTTCCATTTGTTCAAATGATGGTCTCAGGTAGGCTTTCAAATTTTTATCGCTTAGGTTCTGCACATTTTTAAAGGTTTGTGTCATAAGTGAAGTAGTATTTTCCTTTAAACACATCACCTGCATGAAAGTTACTGATTTCAGCGATCTTGTTGAATTCTCATCAAGAGTAGCTTTTACTCGAGTCTCTTGGTATACCTAAAAACACTAATTTTGACTCTTTGAATTTTTGTATCCTCTTTCTAATTGTATAACTTCTAACTGGTATATGTGGAATATTAAATAACTTGACAGCATGCTTATGAGTCAGTCCTAAGGAATGTGTCTGGTGTTTTACCATGATGGTTTAAAAAAAATTCATGAATCTAACCCTACTTTAAGAATTTATATCAATAATAAATTTTACTATTTCTCTTATATCAAAAGTTATTTTCACTTTTCCCTTTAGTTTATACATATACACATATGTCCTCTTCTGATTTTTCCCTTTTTTGTGCAGTAGATAGAACCCAGAGCTTCACACACGCTAAGCTAGTGCACTAGCATTGAGCTACATACATCTCTAGCCTATTTCCTCTTATGTTCTTATATATATATATATATATTTAAACTCACATAGTATTTTGATGTCTACCACATAATATTTTGATACCTTGATGTAAATAGGGAGGTGACTGTGGTCAAGCAAATTAGCATGCACATCATATGGTTGTATGTATGCGTGATTAAAGTAAAGCTCTTAGCAGAATCAGTGTGTACTACAGTTGTTCTAACTATAATTCTCATGTTGCACAGATTTTTTGAGGTTTATTCATCCTTCATAGCTGCAATTTTATATTCTTTGACCTACATCTTCCCATTTCCCTCTCAACCTTAGTAGCCACTGTTGTACTGTTGTGTTTGATTTTTTATAAGTGAGATTATATAGTGTTTTTCTATCTCTGCTTTGTTTTTTTAACATAATGTCCTCTGTTAATGCATGGTATCACAAATGGCAGGACCTCTTCTCATGCTGGATAATGATTTATATATGTGTATGCACAGTTTCTGTCGATGGACACTTTGGTTATTCTATATCTTGGTTACTGTGAATAATTCTGCAATGAACATAGTAACACCGATATTTTACAAGGTCAAATTTATCTCCTTTGGGTATATGACCAGGAGAGGAATCGTTGGGTCCTATAGTGGTCCTGTTTTTTAGGAGATTCAATGCTGTTTTCCATAGTGGCAGCATCAGTTTGTTTCCACCAGCTCAGCAAGTGTTCCCTTTCCCCACACCTTCGCCAACGTTTGTTATTTCTTGTCTTTTTGATAATGAACATTCTAACAGGTGGTGGGATGAGTGCTATGATTTGGTTTGCTTTCCCTGTAATTAGTGTGATATTGAATATCTTTTTATATATCTGATGACCATTTTATATTTTTAGAGAAATGTCTCTTCAGGTCCTTTGCTCTTTTTTTTTCTTTTTGTAATTGAATTACATTTGAATATTAACCCCTTATCAGATACGTGATTTACAATTTTTTTTTTCAGTACATAGGCTGTCTTTTTGTTCTGTTTACTTTGCCGGGGTAGAGCTTTTCAGTTAGATGTAGTCACTTGCTTATATTTGCTTTTGTTTTCTTTGGTGTGCTTTGGTGTCCTAGACACAATATTGCCAAGACTGCTAGGCAGTTTTTCTCCTGTTCTCTTGTGAAGTTTTAATTTCAGTGTTACGTTTAGGTTTGTAATCCATTTTGAGTTTGATTTTTGTGTAGAAGGTAAGGATTCAATTTCATTTTTTTGCAAGTAGCTATTGCTCCCTTTTGGATCTGGAATGTCCCTCCCACAAAGGCTCATGTGTTAAACTGGTCTCCAGTTTAGTGTTCTTGGGACAGTGGAAACTTTAATAAAGGTGGGCCTCGCAGAAGGCATACGTGCCCCTGAGGGAGTGAAAGGCCTTGGTCCCTTCCTCTTGGCACCATGTGTGTGTGTGAGACACAGTCTCACCATGTAACCCCAGGATGGCCTCAAACTCAGCCATCCTCCTGCCTCATCCTTCTGAGTACTGGGATTATCAACATATATCAGCACGCCCAGCTCTTTCCTCTTCTCTTTTTAGCTCTCAGTCATGAGGTAAGTGGTTTTGCTCCAACACATGCTTTACAAAAGCCCCAAACAATGGAACCTCTCTATTCTGGACTGAAAACTACAATAAATGTAGGTCAAAATAAAGCTTTTCTCTTTGTAAAATGATTATCTGAGGTATTTGTTACAGTAACAAAACTAACGTGTATCATTTCTCTGATGTCATTTGTTGAAGAGATTATCTTTTCTCCACGGTGTGTTTATTTTTTATGCCAGTACCATACTATTTTGTTTTTGCTTTATAATAGATTTTTAAGTCAGATAGAATAAGGTGTCTAACTTTATTAAATTTTGCTCATCAGTGCTGATGTTTGGAGATCTTCTATGGTTCCATATGAATTTTAGAATTATTATTTCTTTCTGTGAAAAATGCTAGTGGGTTTATGTTTTTGTTTATTTTTTAGAAATACTGGGGCTTAAAACCAAGGCCACCTTAGTGAGCTACACCCTCAGACCATTTTATTTTTATTTTTGGGACAGGATCTTGCTAATCTGCCCAGTGGGACTCAAATTTGCAATCTGTTTGCCCCAGCCTTGCAGTGTGGGATTTTAGGTATGCACCGCCACACCTGGCCATCATGAAATGTGTACAAGGTTTCCTCAACTAGATTATTTTGGGTAGTATGAATATTTTAATGACATTCTTCATGAACATGAGATTTCATCCCATTTATCTGTGCCACTTTCAATTTCTTTTACCAGTGTTTTTATGGTTGTCAGTGTACAAGTCATTCTTGAAAGAGTAAATAAGATACAAAATCTTCAATAAATATTGTGAAAGGATAAGAAACTGCTCAAAGAGGAAAAAATAAGCGAAAAAGAGAAAAGGGAAGGGAGAAGAAAAAAATATAAATTCGTATATATACACTTAAGATTACTAAGATGATTGCTCTACTAATTCTGTTCTTGGAACAAAACAGTTAACACCCTAGGATTAGATCAATATTGCATGACTACATCTGGTAATTTGAGTAAGAATTTCAAAGGTAACTATGCAAAACAGCAAAATTAGTTATGTTCCTACCACCTTGTTTTGAAAGCCTACATTGTTATTGATTTGAGCTTTTTGTTAGTTATTTGACTCTTGCTTCTTATTTCTCTTCTACTTTGTTTTGTTTTTCCCTCTAATGCAGAAAGGATAAATGTACATATATAGGCTTACATATGCCTAGAACTTCACCTAAAGAGTTTAAAAGAATTGATTTTAGTATGTGTGATGGTATGAACAGCTACATTAAAGAAAACCAGACATCGTGGTAGCCATTGCTGATTTCCTATCATTTTGTTTTGAAGTC